GGGTTATCGTGGTAACTCGGCATCTCGGGTGGGCCTGGCGGCGTTAACCCGGGCCCTGCAGTATCAGCCTGTTAAGAACCAGCACAGGGAGGGCCGCGGGTGAGGCTCAGTGCTTGGTTTGTGCCTCGGCCGCTGGTAAAGTGTGATTCTCAGGGGGGAAAAAGTGATTACTGGAAGTCAAAGCATCAGTGAAATTCATAGCACAGAGCACATGGGCCAAACTGTAATAGGTTCTGAGTTTATTTATGTGGTAAAGCATCTGAGGGATTATCAAGCCTTTGAAATGCTCTAAAATGACCTTTTCTGCCTCCTGTTGCAAGAGCCTGCAATGAAGCTTGTTCACAAGGTGTAGACTAGAATATTGATGTTGCAATATTGGTAAACATCCCACAAAATCCTGGATGTTGTAGCAGTGCTTTTATCTGAAATATTTCACTTCAGATGGTTAAAAGGCAATGGTGGGGGAGAGGGGGCTGGGAAAGGTGGTGGCACTGGCAAAATACAAATACAGTAACTTCAAGCTGTGCTTGGTAAGTTAATGGTTGTTCAGGTTTGTGGATAAACATGAAGAAAGATGTACTTAAGACATAGGATTTATTTTTCTTTGGGAGAGGAAAGCAAACCAGACAGGTTTCAGGTGTTGGTTTGCAATGTTGGCATTTAGTAACACTTGTTTTAGTTTGTCAGTTGATTGCAAGGGCTGGTCAGTGGCCTTTCCCAAACCCTCAGGACCTGCAGCTGCTCTCACAGCTCCTGAAGTGGTTCTGGGGGATCCTGCCCCTTCAGACCTGCCTGGCAGCAGAGATGGTTGAGCAGCATTTGGTGAAGTTCAGAGCTGGAGATGAGTGCTGTTCCACTGAGCTCCCTTCCATGTTCTGCCTTCCCCACCAGCAGCTGCTGGATTTTTGTCTGGGATACCTGAGCAGTTCTGCTTCAATTAGATGAGACTTTGGTTTGGGCTCTGAGTTGTCTTCAGTGTTGGCATCAGGACAACTTGGGTTCTCTCAGGTACAAACAGGAGTTTTTAAGCTGCAGTTATGAGTGAATGTGTAGCCTGCTCTTCCTCTGTTTCCATCTGTGTCAGTGGGCTGGTTTTTAATTTATGCTCCATACTTAAATGCTAATTTATTTATTTTTAAAACAAAACTAATGACAAGAAAAACCTGTTTCTGACACCTAAATTGCTAATTTTTGAGAAAGTCCTGGGTATTGGGGAAGAGGGGATCATTTGACATGGGATTTAGTGCTGGATTTCCTAAGATTGATTCTGTTCAATGTGTTGACAGTCCAAACCATTCCATTATTTCCTTCTGAAGTAGTTATTTTATAGTAGTTATAGTATCTTTAAAGTAGCTAATATTATAACTAATTATATGCATATTACATATACTATATTGTGTAACTAATTATAGCTTAATATTATAACTTAATATTATATAAAGTGGTTGAATTTATAAGTTGTTATAATATATGCTTATTCATTATAACATTTAAATAAAGCAGAATGGCCACTGAGCAAAACTCTTCTTCCTGAACCCAGGAAGCACCATGCAAAATGTTAAACCTTGTCTGAACACAAGATTCTGTGGGAAGTTTATTGGCAAAATAATTTATTCTTTCTTGTCACCATGGCTCTTAATGTTATTTTTCTTTGCCTAGACCATGACAAAATGTTTAAGATGAGTGAAAAGATCCTCCTCCTGTGTGTTGGGGAGGCTGGAGACACTGTGCAGTTTGCAGAATACATCCAGAAGAATGTCCAGCTCTACAAGATGAGAAATGGTGAGTGAGGAGATCAGTTACTGAGGGTTTGGAGTCAGAGGTAATGGTAGATGGAGTTTACTAGTGAATGTTGGTGGAAAGTTTTCACAACTCCTCCAGCTTCAAGGATTTCTGAATGTTTAGTGTCCCAGAAAGGTGGTACTGAAGGGTGAAGAAGTGGAGATTGGATTAATAGTGTAAACCAGGAGGTTTATCCAAAGCCCAGATAATGTATCTATAACATAAATGACCCAAGAATAGGTTTGGTAGGAAAATATTTCCCTTAGTGCCCATTCCATGACAACTGTTACCAGTTCTCCTGTTATACCTGACTGAAAAATTCAGGCTGCCTGCCCAGTGGTTTGATTTTTGGGATCTGTGGGTTTGAACAGATGAGCTGCCTGGATTCTGAGCCCCCTTTTACATCTGCAGCTTTCAGGATAAACTAGAACTAGACAAACAGTGTAACATTCTGTCTTTAAAGAATATCTTGTCATTTCAAAATAGGAATGGGAAGTCAGGAAGTGAGAGAGGAGTGTGGGTTTGCTCAGTTCTCAAAATGACACGTTTCCTCCCCAGGTTATGAACTGTCTCCCACTGCAGCTGCCAACTTCACCCGGCGGAACCTGGCCGACTACCTGCGGAGCCGAGTGAGTCAGGGGAGCTGAAAGCTTTTGGCAAACTCTTAGAGGGGAGAGTTGCCATTGTCAAGTAATGGAATCTGAAAAAGGTGGCAGTTTCTGTCTACTGGTGAATTCCCTTTGAAAGGATGTTTTATTAAAATGTAGGTTTATTTGCCTGGTTAAAAAACTTATCCCATCGCTTATCAATAACTGATAAAACTATAGTCTCAAATTCCAGCCTTGGGCCCAGTAAACATTTTGGCAGGGGCACTGCAGACAGCTGAGTGAGTTAAGCCTCTTTATCATCGAGATAAGGTTGTCAGTTTTCATGCAAATGCACTGAATCCATTTATCTTCTTGGAAAATGATTCAATAGAGCAGAGCTGTTTGATGTACTTAGCAAAAGGAGTCCCTTTTGTAAATAGCACCACGAGGCTTTCAGTACATATCAAACCCAAGCTGGAGCTGTGTTTTCAAGTTACTAAACTGCAATTACTGGTTTTTCTCATGGTAAGTTTTTCAAATTATGAACAGATGTAGTGAAGGGGCAAATGGGCTGTTAAAGATCTGGGGCTAGGAAGAGTGTTCTCCATGTGCTGCATGGGAGGAAACAAGAAATGGGATGTTGGGAATGAAGTTAGCAGTTCTGTCAGGGATCAGTTCCATTGCTGTTCCAGCAGGGCAGTGCAAAGGCCTGGGCTGGTGTTTTCCAGCACAAATAACATCAGTGCTGTGCCTGTGTGGGGTGAGGCCCAGGCCCTTCAAGAGGTCATGGGCAGGAACAACCCAAGGTGTTCTCGTTTCTGTCATTCCTGACGGCTGAAGGCAGCAGGTTTTTGAATTTCTGAAGTCAGAGGGAGTAAGGGGAAGAGCATGGGGCAGGGTCCTGCCTCAGCCTACCACATGGAGCACTGGTTTAAGTGGCTTTACCCAGCTCCATGGGTGGCTGACCAGGGCTGGCAGCAATGCTGCTCCAGCTTGTGCTGGGGTGGGTTTGGGAGGGGTGTGTAGTGAAGCTGTGGTGGTGGTTGAGGTTGCTGTGGAGAGGTGATGCTGCTTTGCCTGGCCCAGGTGGCTCTTGGCTGCCTGGTGGCATCTGACCTGCCTGTGTGGTGCAGGGGAGTCTCACACTGTCCTGCCCACCCCAGCAGATTCAGCCTGTGCTTGTGTATGATTTGCAGCACCACTGAGCAGTCATTTACAGGCTTTTTGGCAAACTTGGCCAGGAGGATGTAGCACTGTCATCTTCCTCTGTGCCATGTCCCTCGAGGCTTGATCCCTTCAGTGTCCCCCCTCCCTACAGAGCCCACTCCTGTCTTCCAGCTCACCTGCTCCAGATGGGCAGCACAGTGGGGAGGACACTGGCAGAGGCAGATGTGTTTATTTACCGGAGATGAGATGTTGTGCTGTTGCAGATGGCAATTCCCTGGAGCAAGGGGTGCTCCCTGACACTGCTGTCACACTGCAGCCAGCTCTGCACTGCAGGGAGAGCTGCTCTTCTTTGAAGGTGGCACTTAATGATTTGTTTGTGGGATTTAGAGCTTGACAACACAAACCTGGCCATCAGAATTATTTTCCTGTGAATTTCTGCTACATTGTCATGATAATTTGTGGGGTACTAGAAGGATTAACACCAGCTCTCTCTGTTTCTTAGTTGCATCTAGAATTTCTCATTTAATTATATGGATGATAACAATTTAAAAATAAAAAGGTGAAACATGTCACTGCCTCCTGTTAGGAGTGGAAAAATAGTTCAAAAGGAAAAAGTCTGATGGGGGTAAGTTAGTTTGTTGCTGTCCCTGTCAGAGGCTAGAAGGTACAGGAAGGGAGGTGGCTAACACTGAAACAGGAGATTTTCAGGCCCCAGCCCCAAATCGAGCTTGGTCTGCAGTGTCAGTCACCACTGGCTTCCTCCGAGGCAGATGTGTTTATTTACCGGAGATGAGATGTTGTGCTGTTGCAGATGGCAATTCCCTGGAGCAAGGGGTGCTCCCTGACACTGCTGTCACACTGCAGCCAGCTCTGCACTGCAGGGAGAGCTGCTCTTCTTTGAAGGTGGCACTTAATGATTTGTTTGTGGGATTTAGAGCTTGACAACACAAACCTGGCCATCAGAATTATTTTCCTGTGAATTTCTGCTACATTGTCATGATAATTTGTGGGGTACTAGAAGGATTAACACCAGCTCTCTCTGTTTCTTAGTTGCATCTAGAATTTCTCATTTAATTATATGGATGATAACAATTTAAAAATAAAAAGGTGAAACATTTCACTGCCTCCTGTTAGGAGTGGAAAAATAGTTCAAAAGGAAAAAAGTCTGATGGGGGTAAGTTAGTTTGTTGCTGTCCCTGTCAGAGGCTAGAAGGTACAGGAAGGGAGGTGGCTAACACTGAAACAGGAGATTTTCAGGCCCCAGCCCCAAATCGAGCTTGGTCTGCAGTGTCAGTCACCACTGGCTTCCTCCCTGTGTTATCCAGTTTGATTTCATTTATGAACCTTGTGGCTCATGTAGTCCAAGTTCCTGATTTTTTTTTCCTGGCATTTATCTTAAAATACGGGGTTTATGTTTTGGGGTAGGATCTGAAAAGGATCTGTGTTGATAATTGAGGCAAACCCAGCAGCTGCTCTGGAGCCAGCTGGCTTTCCCATCGCCGAGAGGTGCAGAAGTTCCTCTTCCAGTTTCCCTGGGAGAACAACCCCCTGCCCCTTCAGAGCCGGTGGCCTCCCCTGGTGGAGTCCAGTTCAGCGGGGACTGTGGTTAGTGAGAGGTGCTAGGGTCTGGCCTGGCTCCAGAGGAAGGCTGTCGGTTCCTCTGCCTTGTCCACGCTCAGCAGGAGGTTTCCTCACGCCCACCTTCCCCCCCTCGATGTGACTCCGGCTTCCGTCAGATGTCACAGCCCTGCTTGTCACCGCCCACCTCCCGCTGCTGAGAGGGGCTTGCTCTGCTTGTCACAGCTCTTCTCTTCAGCTGTAAACTCCGAAGAATTTCACACATCCCTTAATTGCTGTGGTTGTTTTAAATCAAACAACATGCAGTGCAAGGTACTCGGGATGAAAAGTATAGCCTTTCCTAGCAAGGTTCAGTTTTGGGGGAAATTAATTGTTCCTGGAGTGTCCACTCATTTGGTGGCCCTTTAAATCACACCAGTCTCCAAAAGAGTTTAGAGCTGTTGGCAAGGTTTTTGTTACAAAACCCAAGGCTGCCCTTGGCATGGACAAAAGGATGAAGATGCCCCAGGAGTCCCATCCCAGCAAAGATGTCAGTCCCACAGAGACAGCAGAGAGGTCCTGTCTGCAAGTTCCATCTGTAATCATGGAAGCAATAAATAGATTATGTATATTTTCTAACGTTTAAATCCTGCCTTTCTGGACAGGAAGGCATGGGGGGCACTTTATTTACATGTAGAGTTTTAAGAAGTTGTCTCAAACGCCATTAGTGGGAGAACTTAAAGTGAAAACCAGCTTCCGGATTTGTTGAAGTCTGGATAACAGCATTTATTTCTGGCTGAGGATCTCACATGTGCCAGTGTTGGTAATTCAAAGTCCCACAATAATTTGAGTGATCTGGTGTCGTGGCTCTTAAATATCAACTTGTGTGATGTTTCAGAATAAATAAATGATGAAGTACAGAGTAATGACTTGAGTGCAGCTGCATGGTAACTTGGTTCTAAATATTCCTGAATGCTTTGAAGATTAAATCACACCATTTACAGCCATGTTTAATATATAACTGTAGCCTTCTTTATTCTTTCTTTCTATCTGGGGCAAGTCAAAATACAGTATCCTGTAATATTTTGAGTACAAATTCACTGTGCTTAGTATCAAAATGAAGTTTCTCCTGTCAAAGTTATGTTTTGGCTTTAGGGGGAAGTTGTGTTTGCTTGTTCTAATCTATTGTGAGTTGCATCATCATTTTCATTCTCATTTTGTTGGTTTGTTGATTTAGACTTTCCAGCATTTTAAGAGATATCCTGTTAGTATGATTAATATAATAAGAAACATAATATAAATATGAGAATACTGGAAGTATATAAAAGACATTACAATTAAAACATTTTCTTCTGAGCCTACACTTAAAAAAAATTATTTACAGTGTGTACATGTTTCATGGTCTTCTAAAGTGCACATCTTGAAAGAAGATGTATGGGCACATCTGCTTTATTCAGATTATCCTAAATCACAAAGGAAACTGCTGAAGAATTGCTCAACTTGCAAGTACAGCACAATGAAGAGGCAGGGTTACATTAGTGAAGCTGCAGTGGTCTTTTTGGAGAAGTTGTAGATATTTCTCAGTTTTACTCGAGAGACTCTTGCTGAACTCAAACAAGAATCAGAGAAGACAGCAACCAAAGCAGATTGAGTTTAAGAAAACCTTCCAGCTATAGACAAAAGCAGTGTCTTGGTAGTCAGTTTTGAACAGAAATAAAGCAGTTCCTTAGATCTTCAATCACTTGGTCAAGTTAGCCAAAATATTAAAGATTAAACTTAATAAGTGCAATGACAATCTCCTGCCAGCTGACGAGATGGTGTCACAGTGTGTGCAGCTGCTGGAGCTGTGGGTGAGCTCCACGTGTGCTGAGCAGTTACTGGGTGGTGTGACTGAGAGGGAGCATGTGAACTCAGAGAGGGCTTCTTACAAACTGCAGAATGTTCTCATTGTGCTCCCATGTTGACAGTAAAAATCCACAAGTTTTATGTTGAGATGAAAGAATCTGATGTGAAAACAAAGTTTTCTTAAGTTTGAATGTGCCATGAAAGCTTTAAAAAACCCCAAAATCTGAGCCAAACCCCAAACTACTAATTTTCAGGAGAACCAGAGTTTTATGTCTTTATTTGCTTCTGCATTCCATATTACCAAAAGACCTGATGGTTTTTAGATTGAGATCCATGATCTCCAGTGTTGATGTAGTTGCTAGTAGCATTTCAAGGGCAAAAACTGTGAAAGCAGCTCTGTTGCTCTTCTGTAGGTGGCACAGGGAGTTAAGCTTCAAAGAGCTGGGCTGCCTTGGTGACACTCTTCCTTTGTTTGCAGACCCCCTACCACGTCAACCTGCTCCTGGCTGGCTATGATGACCACGAAGGTCCTGCCCTCTACTACATGGATTACCTTGCAGCTCTGGCTAAAGCTCCTTTTGCAGCACATGGATATGGTGCCTTCCTCACCCTCAGCATCCTCGACCGCTATTACAAGCCAGGCAAGTGGAGTCCATGAGAATAAAATTCTCCTGTTACTGATTGATAAATTAGAGGCTTAAACTGAGAGGTTGACTTGTGCTGAGTCAGATGGTGCAGTGTGGTTGCTGTGGTACCACAGATTGGAATATTTGTTAGAATAAATGTAGCTTTAGAGATTGTCTTCTGGTTTTGCTGAACTGGGGATGTGAAACTAGTCAATTCCTTGAAGTGTTTTCCTGTTAGGAGCATAAGAGACTAAGTGAAGGAAGTTTCAATTTATTCTAAAACGTTGTTAGACCTCCATGGACCATTAGCTGCTAGTAGTCTGTTTTTAATAAATAGCCTTTTGATAACTTTTATCTTCTACTTGTCTGTTGGATATGACATGTACATTTTCTCAGAGTATCAGTCTTTGGAGAACAGCCCCAGATCCCATTGCTCCTTATCTTGGATGGGCTTTGTGTGTGATATATTAAAACCATACAAGTGAAAAGATATTCTGGCAAGATTATCTTCAGCGCTCTGAAGTGTGGGGATGAAGATGGGTTGGTTTGGTTTACAGCTTTATACATGTGTTAGCTCTTGGTCATGATTCTTGTACATGTCTGTACCTGTGTAGTTTTAGTTTTAGAATCATAGTCCAGTTCTTACACTGGCAAGGAATAAACATGGTCTTGACCCTGCTGTACAGGTGAGGAAATGTACAACCCTTGGAGCTCTCATTATCTGGCATTTTGGCTTTAGCTACTAAACTACTTCTCTCCTGTGTGTGAAGCTGAGTTTGATCTCATGGCAGAGATGTTCTCTTTGTAATCCTTTCATCCAGCTCTGTGAGAAATGTAGCCATAAGCTGAGTGCTCTTCTGATGGGAATTCTGCTGGAACAGGGGGTGTGGATCTGCATCAAGCTCTAGAAACAAGTTTTGTGAGATCCACAGAGCTTGGTTGGTTTCTAGTCACCTCCCTTGAAAATGACACTGCTCCATTTCCACCATTCCTTGTGAAAAGACAGACCCAGTGAGCTACAGTACCTTGTCATGGCTTGCCATGGGTTGTATCCCAGCGTGTGAGAGTAGCAGGAGCATCTCACACGTGCCTTTCCCATTATTGGAGCCAACCCCCAGCAGGGAGCCCAGCGCTGAGACCAGTCCCCGCCTCCTGCCGCTGCCTCGCAACCGGCCCGGGCAGATGGACCTGATTTAAAACTGCAGTGAAGTGGAGGGGAGGGAGGCGGCCGGGCTGCTGCAGAGCCCGGGCCATGGGGGGCGGAATTCCGTCATGCTTCCCAGGCAGTGGAACAAATCGATTCTCAATGGCTCGTTGCAGCCCCGGCGCTGCGGGGCGGGGCAGCATCTGGAACGTGTTTTCTGCGAGCTGGGGAGGGAGAGGGTCTGGTGCTCAGCTGAAAAGTTGCTTAAATTTAATAAAAGTTTCTGGTGAGAGGGATGGCCTCTAATTAAATCAATCTGGGGGTGTTTTCTCTTTCAGGTATCACACGTGAGGAAGCTATGGAGCTCCTAAAAAAATGTCTGGAGGAGGTGAGTTGCCAGACTTGGGCCCTTGTGATCTTGAGAAAGGAATGTTTGTTTGCATTCATTTACTGATATTTTCCTCTTCCTCTTGTCACGTTTTGTTGCTGTCTTTGCCGGAAGGGATAATAAATGCGCATTGGCCAGATGTGGAATAGCTACTGAGGAAAAGGATTTGTGGGCACTTGCATTGTTTTAGCATGGTTCATGTCCTCCAGAACATAAACTTGAAGCTTAATTGCTTTTCTTTACTTCTGCTTCTTCCATGCTTAGCATAATATTGATACAGTCTTTGACTTTTTCCTTTTATGTTTCTCCTGAACATAATGCAAGCATCCTTCTGTGACTTGTAGTACACTGAACTAGAACAAACTTCTAAGTGCACTTCTCTTCCAGCTTCTGAAGTGATATCTGAGGTGAAGGTTTGACCTTATAGTTCATGACCAATGTTAGTGTAAATGGAACCTTCCAGACTCCAAAGCTTTTATCGTAGGAAAATAATCTTTATCCTTGTTTTTAAGACATTGAATTCAATACAATTGGGAATATCAGGGAAAACCTCAGGAATAAGTACTCTAAGGTTCTGTTTGAAGTGTCTTTTTGATACACTCTGTGCCCTCAGTTGCAGCCCTCTTTGGTCTTCCTGCTTAAATGCCTTCCTGTTTCTCAGGTGCACCCTGGTGTATTTTGCATTAGCCTAGACTTGTCTAACGTGGAGGGGCTTAGAGAACAAATTCATACTCACTGATGCCTGAGCAGTGAAAAACCATTCTAGTTCCTAGTATTTCAGGTCACTAGAACCCAGATACTTGGATGTGCCACAGCACATCCCTTAAGTTATGATCTCCTCTTCTCTTTGAGCAAGTCTCATCCTTTGTCTTTTGTTGAACAGCTCCAGAAACGCTTCATCCTCAATCTGGCTTCGTTCAACGCCCGGTTCGTTGACAAGGATGGCATCCACGAGGTGAAAAACATACCCCTTCCCAAAGCTGTGTCCTAACCCCTGAGATATTTCTTCAGCAGTCTTCTTTTTTTGTTTGTTTTGGGTTTTTCTATTCATTTGGAGCACACAAGTCATGTACTGCACTGGGAGATCAAATAAAGATTGACATTTATACAGCCAGTTCTATCTTTTTATTCCACTGATCCCTCATGAGGGTGTTTAAATAGATTTTTTTCTACACTGAAGGTGAAACTTGATTTTCTGTTGCTGGGTGCACATTCTGGTTGCTCATCTTTCTGTCCTCTGTGGAGATTTTTCACTTCCAGCTCCCAATAGGTTTTCTTATGTGTAGAAAAACTGGTACTAGGTCTTCTAGATGACACTGTGCTGTCATCCATTCTCATCATTAAAGCTCCACAAACACCAGGTAAGTGTTTAATGCTGAACACGCAGCATCTACTTGACTTTTCCAAAGATGTTACCATAGTTTGCTTTATAAAACAAAAGGTCAGGTTTTCAAGCACTTTTGTTACACTTTGTTTCAATGTAATCCATATGAAAGGGGAAAGAACAGATTTTTTAGTAGAATGGATTTTAAAATGTTAGTGTCACTTTCAACTCACCTAGCCATGGGTCTGTTCCTGGGAAAGAATATTCTCTGCTAGCACAGTAGTCTCATAACTAAGGATTTAAAATAGAAATTGTTTGTATCAGTTATGTGATTTTTCTTAATTGATGTCTGTACGTTTAGGAGTACATGGAAAAAAAATTCAATGAGAAATAAAACTGCAGCACTAGAGCTTTATTAGAGGTTTATTTCCATGAGGATAAGTGCTGCTCTGCCAAGGCTTTAAGTGATGATTCCACAGAAAATCTCCATTCATGGAGCAGCCTCAGATAATGATCATGTGGCTGATACTGAGAGTCTGCCCAGGAGGGATTCTTCTGAGAATAATTGTCATTGAAACTGCTTCCCTACTTGGGTTTGCATGGAATGAGTTAACCACTTAAAATGCTCTGTTTGGGTGCTTGGTTTATGTTGGAATAAACCTGGAAACCCAGTCTTGGGCACAGAAGACTGGATGTGCACAGGGTTGTGCAGAGTTGTGAGGCACAGCCTGATGCCTCAGCTGGGGAGGGGGTGACAGACCTGCCTCTGTTTGTCAGAGCTTTTTAGGTGCTGCCTCAGTGGTGTGTTGGAGAATGTCTGTGTCTGCCCCAAAAAGTTGTCAACCTCAGAGCCCAAGGATTCCCATCTCATTAAACTGGATCAGAGACTGGGACTCAATGTCACAGCAGAGCTTTGCAGCTCCAGTGCCTTAACTTGTCCTGCCCCTTAAGGCTGCTCTTCCCTCACTGTCATTCTTAACTGAGGTCCCAGCAGCCTTCACAGTTTAATTTTTACCAGAATTAGTTTAATTTTTAGCCGATTTTTTTTTTTTTTAATTATTCATTGCTGCAGTGGCTTTTGTTTAGGGCCAATGGCACATAACTCTGAAACATTTTGCTAAAATATACTTTGTCTTTTAAAAACCTTTTCAAACTTTTGGTACCCTGTGAGAAGGAAGTCCCCAGTGTGTGGGTATTTTCTCTTGGCAGGTCACATTTAACATGGGCAGGGTCTGAGTGTTCTGGTGCTGCAGCTGAAATCTCACCCTGTGTGTTGCATTAATGTATTTGTTTAGCTTATTATGCAGCATCTCTCATTTATTTTGCCACTGATGTTGAATGTTTTTGCAGGTTTCTTGTCTCTCTTTTCAAAGTCACTGCAGTGGCTGAGCTGCTGGGGTGTTTTTGTCACTGCATATCAAAGCAGTGATGCCTCCGTGGTGGAGGTGTCATTATCCCAGACACCAGACCAGGGGTGTGGTGCTATCAGATCATCTGAGTCTGGCAGAGAATCTGCCTGGAGTTTTATTTGGCACCTATTTGCATGCAGGTGATTAATAAACATAAAACAATTATTCCCTTGCAAACACCCTGGCTGGATGCAGGTTGGAGTGGAACATATGTTCTGCCTGAGGGCAGGGCAGACCAGGGGTGTGGTGCTATCAGATCATCTGAGTCTGGCAGAGAATCTGCCTGGAGTTTTATTTGGCACCTATTTGCATGCAGGTGATTAATAAACATAAAACAATTATTCCCTTGCAAACACCCTGGCTGGATGCAGGTTGGAGTGGAACATATGTTCTGCCTGAGGGCAGGGCCCAGGATCTGAATGAGAGAGAGATACAAGGGGTTGCATCAGAAGCAGCAACCTCTAGGAATGAATAAATACAGACCTTTATTGCAAGGCAGTAGAACAAAAGAACTGGCCCACAAGGAGATTGGGCTCCAGCCTCTGATGAAGTAGATTCTTTTAAAGGCTTTCCAAGATTTTACATTTTTTAAGGAAAGGTACAATACATTTTCTGTGTAACTTTAGGTTGTTTTCAAGGTCTATGGTGCTGATATTTAAATTCAGAAACATTGAGTTTTCATTTTCAACAGTAATACATGGTACCTGTTTGAAAAACCAAGGTTTTAAGTTTCCCCTGTGCATTACTTAAAGAAAATCTCTTACCTGCTTTGACTTTAAAGCTTTTGGAAAACATTTTTTTTGCCAATCTAAGAATACCTTTTGGAAAATAATCACCTTCCCATTAGAAAGGCATTTCTGTTTGTCATGACAGGCCTTTCTTTCCTATGGCTTCTCTGAAAGAATTGAGCACTGCAAGAAAGTGCTGCTTTCTAGGAATGCTTTTTTTGTTGTTGTTCTTATAAAAAATTAATGTTGCAAACCAAGGTAACATCTTCCCAGGCTGTTGTGGCCACAGTGAGCTGTTCTGCTTTGGCTGGTAATTCTGACCATATGTTTTGCTACCAAAGCCTCAGGGCCTAAAGAGTTAACAAGGCACTTTTTCTCCTATTAGGTTTCCTGTTTAAGATGGTCTTTCCTGAGCACCCTAAGTGTAACAGATCGTTGCACCAGCTCATCTCCCAGAGCTTGCAGCTTGCTCCAAGATCGGTTTACAAGGGAATGGAGCCTCAGGCCATGTTAGCTTGGAAGTGCTTTGCTGGAAGAAGCATGTGAGTGTAGGTAGAGTGCTTGTAGCTCGGTCTTGGTGTCAGTTACACCTTTCCATGGAAGAAAATCCCTATCTGTTGACCCTCACTCATGCTGGAGATGTTGGCACTGAGGCACCACTGCTTGGCACAAGTTGGCAATGTCCTTGGGGCAGTTCTGCAGTCCTAAAAGTGACCAGATGGATCAGAGTTGTCTGGAGTGGGGAAGCTTCTCCCCCATGAGATGGCAAGTGAGAGCTGAGCATGGCCATGCAAATAAAAATTGAAATGGCTGAAAGGTAAAAACTACCTCCCTATTGCTGTGTTCAGCCTTTATGTGGAGCAGCTGGTGGGGGAGAGTTCCCCAGGTTCATTCACCTCCATGTTTCCCCCTGAATTTTCCAGCCCAAGAAACCTGTCACCCCATTCAGGGGAACAAACCAAGATGCATCAGCCGTGGGCAGGTGAAAGGCCTTGAGCAGGGGCTGCTCTGGATGCTTGGAAACAAGAGTTCACTGATGTGGAGACTGCACAGAGCAGGGGAACTGGAGATGTAAAATCAGGGACGTTTGGAGCAGCCTCAGCAGTTGAAGTCTGGCTCCTGTTCATGGGGAAGGGATGGAACAGGCACTGGCGGGAGCTTCATTTGCAACAAGATGGAGCTGCCACCAGTCAGAGTGCAGAGGGGGAGCAGGATCAGCTCTCCCAAGGATGTTTTGATTTGCTCCTGTCTCCTGTTTTGACAGTAGATCCCTAGAAGCAGGATCAGCCAGTCCAGGGCTGGCACTGGGCTGTGTGTTTAGGATGTGGTTGGTTCCAGTTTCCAGCCTGAAGCAGAGACAGAATATTCCTTTGGTTGCAAAAAATGCCTTGGTGTCCAAGGAAGGAAAAACCTTGAACTTTGCTGCCTGTGAAGCATGGTACATACTGGGTCTGTAAAGAAAAATACATTTACTCTGCTCATAAAAAGTTTATCCTTCAAGCCATTGTAAAATTTGTTAGAAGTTTAACCTTATAAAGAATTTCTGTGTTATCAGTCTGCTATCAACAGTAATTAAGTGCAGGAAATTTTAATTTGAGCCCTGATCGAACTAAACACAGGTAAGTTGTTTAACAGGTTTTAAAAAGCAAGATGGAAATGGTGGGATTTAAAGCATCTAACTTCTCTTTTTTCCATATTCCACGTTGGCTTGAACCTCCGTGAGCTCCCGGCTCGCTGAGGACCACAGGAAAAATAAGTTAGTTGTCTTGAAAATGTAAAGTGACAGTTTAAGCATTTTGTTTCTGTGCTAATGTGCAATTAGGTTGTTATCCAATAAGCTTATTTGTGTAGTGTAACTGAAGACAGCTGTGGAAGGGAGAGAGAAAAGCCTTGGCTGTTGAGGAGTGGGGAGAGGATGAACAAGAGGGTCTGTTCTGAACTGCCAGTGTGTTCCCCCTGTGTGATACAGTCCAGCATTACAGGTTAGCAAGATTTATTAAAAATTCTGCTGATCAAATCTAGAGAGACATAAAATTAAAATGTGGGTAGATCTGAATACCAGCAAATATAGTGGAATTTAATGTTTATGGATTGACTCTAAGGCACCATACATGGTGGGGCCAACCCAGTGATCGAATTGTCCACAGTGATGCCCTGGTGAGGTGCACGTTGAGTTAAGTACCTTTTGCTTCATGTTTGTGCACAATCAGGAATGGAGTTCATCTCCTTTAGTTAATTTGCAGAAGGCAAAGCAGTCTCATCATAATTTGTCAGTGTTTTTAGGATTACTGAGATTCTTTACACTATCCTACTATGGTACCACCAAAATGTCCATGGGTTTAAGTGATGTTTGATCTCCTCTTGCTGAACCAGAGCTCTTGGGGCTCCTGGTGAGCCCTGGGCATCCCAGAAGCCTCTTCCCTCAGCAGAGGGCAGTGATCCTGCACACACCCCATGCATCCCTGCAAACTTGTTGGGCCTCTTCATCTCTGTGCAGATCACCTGATGGGCTCTGAGTGGGCACCTTCAAGAAGAAAACAATTAAAAATGTATTCTAATTTAATTTGGCTTACAGTATTCATTCAAAGCAGAAGAGAGACCTGTCCAGACCCTCTCACCTGGTGCCTTGCTCTGGTACATCTGATA